TGGGGGGGGGGGGGGTTGTTAAGAGAAAAGGGAACTTAAAATTTCTAATAATGAAAGTGCATGCATGTGATTATGTTTAGTTGTGAATGGGTGTAATGCCAAATGGACCAATTGAGATGTACACACAATTAAGGTCATAGACCCGTACATTGTTGATAATTTGATGGTTTAAAATAGGTTAATAAAATGTAATATATTTTATTAATTCCCTAATTAACCACGAGACCAAAACTTCTTATAGGATCAAAATTCTAAAAATCTAGAAATCTATAATCTCTTTAGACCCTTCATCTTGAGAGGAGTCTCTCTTACATAGATTTTTACTTTTCCTCGACACCATTCCTTAGCAAGAAGTGTCGTCCTTATAATTGTCTTTATTTTTTTTGCAGTACATATATATAAACCAATATACAAACCCGGTTTTGATCCATTCACACATATATGGATCATATGAAGTGATATATCATATGTTTGGGAAGAATTATGACGACAAAAACGCATTTTATTGTCCATTGCCTTTTCAAAAGCCTTTTCTTCTTCAGGAAAAAAAAGATGCGAATGTGAATGCCGTCTATATATTCTGAGATTCATTCTAGAATGCCATATATAGAGTTTAGGCATAATCAACATATTAATCTCAAAGATAATATTTACATAATGTAGATCCGTAACAATTTATATTGTAATACCGTTGTGTTATTAGGAATATATAGTTTTTTTTTTAACTATTAAATACAATGTTGTTTATATATCAAATATCAAAGAGTATAAATATTTTCAAATCTATATCATTGTATCATTTGAGATATATCCTATATGTGAATACGTGGTGTGTGTGTGTGTATATATATATAATGATGTGACTCGGTCGACTATGTATTTTCATAGCAAATGATACATACAACATTCATCAAATATGAATTGAATATATAGAGTCTAATCGTTGCATGCCATGACACTGTGTTAACTCGACACTTCTCTCTTGTTCCCTTCTTCTTTTTTTTCTAAATTGATAATGATTTTCCATTATTTTATTTTATTTATTGGTAGTTTTAAATAAATATCTAAATGACCAAACACCATCTTCGCTAATCATCATCGAAATATCTGATATAATTTTTATTTGCAAAAATTAAAAAAGTTTAATATTTTTTAGTTATTCATAATTTTTTAAATGACAAAACTCGATCATCAATAAACATTATTATAGATTATAATCAGAACCATTTTAGAGATCAGATCGCACAATTATAGAATGGATATAGAATCTTCATCCATAGAACTTTTTTCTTGGTAGCTAAAAGCTTTAACTTTAGAAAAAGAAAACAATTATATTATTTTTATTTATTTATAAGTTTATTGGGAATCTAATATAGAATTATGAATGGACAAGATTTAGGTGATTTGTAACTAAAGGAAACGTGCGTACTCTTTGTGTCGGCGAAAATGTAAGACAATGACGTGGACAACGGCCGTACAGTTTCTCCCACACGCAGATTCGTTCATTTCCAAACACATGCGTTTCGGTTTCATAAAAAAAAACAAATATAAGAAAGAAAAAAAAACAATCCCAAGTTTTCATTTCGGGGTTCCGATTTTTATAGATATTTTTATTCTATAATTACTTTCTGAAAGTTTATATGAAGTTTACACGTTTACCAAAAAAAATGTTATCTATTTAAAATTTAAAAAAAAAACGAAGTAAAAAAAAAAGACTACCAGCATTACACACTGTTATATCATATATATATATATATATATATATATGTATATATTATGGAGAATTCATATTATTTAAAAATTATTAGATTTCATATCTAACTTCAATTTTTTTTATATTACAAATTATATTTTTTTTATAAAAGTTGAAATTCAATTAACAAAGTTATGTTATCTATTTAAACTCTTCATCATCAACACTATAATAGCAGTGATTCTCTTATCACTTATCCATAGACTTACTTCTATATAGAAATTTATAAATTGAAAAAAAAAATATAACGACAATAAACAAATTTGTTGTCGACCATTTTCATTTGAATTTTTTTAACAAAACCTCAAATTCAATAATAAAAATCCGATACCGTTATACATAAATTATCAGATAACCCTTACTGTTGTTATTGATGATAGTTAAGAATAATTTCAATAATACATCACAAATTTTTCCATTTGAATTCCTGATTTCATAACAATATAATTTCGAATATAATTACAAAAAAAAAATCACACCATTGCCAGAAATGAAGTGATTAAGGAACAAAGTTTGGAGATTTTAAACGAAAAATAATGAAAATGTAATAATATATTTTAGTATTATTATTATTATTTAGGGAATTCATAATTAATCATACCGTGGTATAAATGGAAATAATGCATGGAAATCTGAAACTCAATACAAGGGCAATTGTGGATATGATGGTGGTGGTGGTGGTGGTGATTCGTCCCAGTCATTCATGATTCTAATGGAATCTATGTCAATTTTTTGGAGGAAATTAATATTTCAATACATAATTTAAATAATTTCCGTGTCCTGAAATAGTCTAGAACGTGTTAATTGGAATTATTTAAATAGCAATTAAAGAAATTATCTAATTTTAGTGTGTTTGTAAGCCTTCCACGATTACGTGGTTTTAAAAAATTCCATTTTTTTTATAAATAACAAACCAATCGACACCATAGTTATATATATATTACAATAACTGTAGATGCATATTATTTACATATGATTTTTGTATTTAGTTTTCGACATACGATTATATATTACTCAATTTAACTTTTGTATACATCCGAATTAAATCAAAATGATAATTTCTAAAAGGATAAGAAGCATAGAAATCACCACAGAAAAAGTTAGCCGAATTAAATCAAAATATCAAAGAAAAAGAAAACAAAAATAGTAAAAAAGTAGCCAAATCCTTTATTATTCTCATTCATATGCAGAAGAAACCATCTTAATAAAGAAAAATTTCTAAAATTTACAAAATTTCAGTTATCAAACCATTAAATTGGGTTTTCTAATTTAGAGGAATGATAAACGAAGATGGGTAATTTCCTCATGAGTCGGGAAACTTTGCTTTGTTTTCCATTATTTGCAATCGTCCAATACCTTTCATAAAATATTTGGCATTTGCTTTTAATTCATTTTCATTCTCATACGACTTCTCGTCTCGTGATCTCTCCTGTTTTTCTTTTGGTTTTGACTGGTGGTTAATATTTTTTATTTTTATTTCAAATATTTTTTATTCGATTTTATTGATTATTATATATATAAATTAGGCTCAAATTTATTTTAAAACATGACAACAATGATTCAAATAAATGAATTTTTATATTAAATCTCAATTCGGATTATATATGTCATTTCGAATTTATTTTGTGTTTAAAAATATTTATTTTAAAAGATTTTGTCTACGTTTCTTATCCATTATTTTTATATATATGGATTTTTTTTTCCTTTTTGGTGAAGAAAATATGACGAAACTACAATGGCAGGAATGATGCAGGCCAATGTAATTTTTTTAAACATGAGTACCTTTCTTAACCATCTATATTTGGTCTGACTCCATGCACGAAAGGGCCCACCAGAGATGACGTGGACCAATCATAATTCTTCCATACGTCCAGTTCAGCTATTCTTTTGTCTATTTTCTCTGTGAGAAAAAAACACACACAAAAAAAAAATCAAAGCATGATTTTTTTTTGGTTAAAAATCAAAGCATAAATTTCAACAAACCATTCTCTTTTCTATCTCGGAAGGTGACTTTTCTGTGTCATATGAGTATTTATACTCAATCCCCTTGTAGTCTGTTACTTCTCTCTCTCTCTCTCTCTCTCTCTCTCTCTCTCAGACCGCCATTGATCTCCGCCGCTCTGCTTACACTTAGATCGGAGGGAGCTTCGAGAGAAGAGTGTCTCATCGATTTTCGAGTCAACGTTTGCACGATAACACATGGGGAGACATTCTTGCTGTTACAAGCAGAAGCTAAGGAAGGGCCTCTGGTCTCCTGATGAAGACGAGAAGCTTCTCAGTCACATCACCAAACACGGCCATGGATGCTGGAGCTCTGTTCCTAAACTCGCCGGTACTTTCTTTTCTTTTTCCCGGAAAAAAAAGGGTACTTTCCTCTCTTCTTGTCAATGACATGGAAAGCATCCGAAAACAGGTTTGCAGAGATGCGGTAAAAGCTGCAGGCTTCGGTGGATAAACTACTTGAGGCCTGATTTGAAGAGGGGAGCGTTTTCCCCAGATGAAGAGAATCTGATCATCGAACTCCACTCCATTCTCGGAAACAGGTAATGAACGAAAGAATCTATTGAAGGACATTAAAGGAGCTTGGTTTTTTTTTTTGGTGAGACTGGTTTTGTTCTTGTTCTTGTTTTATGTATAAATCAGGTGGTCTCAGATTGCGGCGAGGCTTCCGGGAAGAACCGACAACGAGATAAAGAATCTGTGGAACTCATGCATCAAGAAGAGGCTGAGGGAAAGA